TTTTTGGTTCATCTTCTGTTGTGTTTCCTGCCCAGGAGGGGAAGATGACATCTAATATGAACCTATTCTGTTACATAGACTGGAAAATCAAGTAAAAACTGAGACTAGTGTTTCCTTTTCCTGTGTCTCCAGACTGGGCACCAACCAGAGGACAAGCCAGCCCACAAACCCTTGTACCTTTGTACCTTTGTTGCTTTGAACAGGAAGTTACAGGTCTGTTTGCTATAAGCAGCTGCTCATTTTCTCCCAAACACCCACTGTTCAAACATATTTGCTGTCCAGGAGTTTTAGACAAACACTTGTTGCTTTTAAGCACATCCTTGCTGTATGAAAATCAAGTCTGATGTAAATGATTCCTCCATCCATTTGGATGAGCTATGTGGTTTGTTCCCTGCCTCTTTGTGTGGAGGGTTTGCTGGACCTTTGGCTTGCAAACTGGCTGATTTTTGATGACTTTAGTCAATCTGGCTACTCAGTGAAGACATTGCAGAGAATACATCACACAGTGTCAAGATGACAACTCGGTGGGAGTGTGATTTGTTGAGCAGTAAAACTTCCTGCTTATGCAGCTGGCGAGGCAGTAATGTACAGAAACATTACATGGGAAGGCTGGAATGTGGGAAATCAGTGACTTTCACAATATGACATTGCTTAGCAAAAAGCTGCCTTTGAAACCCAGTGTTCACATTTCCAATTAGTTTGCCTCTAGCTCTCATGCAAGGAAAGTCCTCATGCTACCAGGAAGGGAAAAGAAAGGAGGAGGGAAGAGGAGCAAGCAGAGCTGGAGGAACGACTGTGAGTTATATTGCACGCTGTGAATTGGCTATAAATCCTGGCTGCAGGAATTACTGAGATGGAGAAATAGTTATCTCCTAACTCTGAGATCCAATCTGCAAAGCCCCAGTGTCAGGGGGATGATTTATGTGCTACAAAGTCATCAGGATTGAGCCCCCAGTGAAAGAGATGCACACAGAAACTTGTTCTGTTTCTCATGGGGAACAAACCCCGAGTCCCTGGCTGTGTTGCACGGCCATGAGGTGATGCCAAAGAGGGGCTGAGGTCAGGCTCCAGGGGTGCCTGGGGTGCTGGAGCAGGCAGGAGGAGGATGCTGCTTTCCCCTGACCTCTGCTGGCTGATGAGCTCCAGAGGGAGCTGTGGCTCGCCTTTTCTCGCTCAGAGATGCGCTCACAAGGAGCAGACAGCAGAGGGAAGGATAAATGCGTGGTCCCGGGAATCCCTCTTCTTCTCCCCTTCTCTTCATTCCAACCTTCTGTAAGAAAACTCAGCTTTTATGGGCTTTCATTTCTAAAGGTTGTTGTAGAGCAGTCCTATGAAAATACACATAGTAAATAAAGGAAACTTCTGTGCTGTCTTTGTTTATAATTTTTGTAAGGATGTGGTATATCAGTCAGAACCCTGCTTTAATGCCTCCTGCAAAGCAGTGACATCCAGGATTGTTAAAGCTGTGCTTTTCAGAAGGGAATTCAAACCACTGCACAAACAGTTTTTCTCTAGCACCCGAGCATGTTTGTTGGATGCAAAGTTGATCCAGAAACATATTTTATTTTGAGGTGCTGCCAGCATTTGCCTCTCCCTCTCAACAAGAGTGATTACACTGGAAACAATCCTTCTCAAGTGAGGATAGGAGGCTGTAGATTGCTGAGGCACGGGCACACATTTCCCTGTCAGCACTGCCACCCACGCCTGGTGTCTGCTTTTGAACCACCAGGCTCTTCCTGCAGCTGCCAGCCAATCAGACTTCGCTGATTTACACTTTTTGGGGTTTTGGACTGATGTTTATTTAGATACAAAACACCAACTTTCAGGCTGAATGCTTTTCTCCACACACTCAGGAAGCAAAGGAGAGCGAGGCTGAATAGAAAAGACATGGTGCCATCACTCTCTCCTGCACGTTTTTGGCTCTCCTGCAGACAGTATTAGAAATTCCAAACTGTACAAGGATGAAAGTGATAACCCTAAGCCATGGTTCTATGTGTTTAAAATAAACCAATAGCCTGTTTTGGTTCAGTTCAAAAATAACCTCTTTGATGGGTTGTGTGGCTTTTAGTTTTTATTATCTCCTTCAATTGAGAATCTGAAGCTGCCAAAATTAAATAGAAGCTTTTTTCCCCTCTGTCCCTGCAGGTGAGATATTAAGAAGGAAAGAGAAATGTCTTAAAGCAGTGCAAACAATAACAGTGTATCAAAAAATGATATCATTGAATTAACTTCCAATTTATCTGTCTTAGTATTAAGTTTACTCTCTCTATCTTGATAGGTTTTATTAGTCAGATAATAATCCAACCCAAATTTCTAAGATTATAGACTCAGTGTAAGTACATAATAAAGCTGTTTTGCTGTCAGAAGTGTTTGAAACTGTACTAGAAGTATAAAAGTGCATAAGGATACAGCAATTTCATATTCAGAGTGCAAAGAACTAATAAAAAAATAATAAAATCCTTCAGAAGGAATTTTTTTTTTCTCAGAATTGTCACATTCATCATTGTGGCTAAACTGCCCGTACATTTCTCAGTGTGAGGTCACCTGGCAGCAACAGGGGACACCACTGAGCTGTGATTTGGGCCACAGGTTCACCTGTAGCAGTGTCCCTGACATTGTCCTGCTGATTTGGAAATGGGAGATGATGCAGTGTTAAACTTCCAGTAAACTCCACATCTGATCACAGCTTTGCTATCATGATATGTGCATTTTTTTCTCACTCTCTGTGAGGGTTTTACAACTCTGTACAAGCTGAAATGTCCTTTGCAACTCAGGGCTCAGCTACCTTACTTGGAGTCCTTAAAGCCTGGCAGAAAAGATACTCAAATCCTGAAAAAAGCCCCTCTGTAAAGCAGAAACCTTCTGGTTTTTCCTGATTCCTTCTTGCCACACACTTCCCAGGAAGGCCAGCAGAAGCACTGCACAAAAAGTCTCCCAGCTGGATTTCTGAGCACTCATGCACACAGCCCATGGGGCTGTCTCACCTCTGCACAGCCAGCTGCCCCAGGTGGCCTCAGGATTGTCAAAATTAACAACATTTATAAATGTATAAATACAGATATGTTTACTGCTAGTGAAACAGCAGAATGAGCAGCATGATACTCAGCTCTATTTGGAATTTCAAATGGATATTATGGTAGATTTTCCATGTTCTATTTAAGGAAAAGTGGGTAGTGGGAATTCTTCATGCTAAGGACTTATTCTCCACTTTTTCATTTGTCTGTGTGTGAGTTAGGAACATGTGCCTGGGCTCACATTTTAGCCTTTCAGTGTGTGCCACATATTCTATCTAATCCCCCAATCTAGTCTATGCCTGATGAAAAATGATGTGAAATCATGCCTAAAAAGCGGTGAGATGTGTTCTGCATTTGAACTCTGAGAGGTTTAAGGGACAGAGAGCAGCCTCCCACTGCTGGGAGCACTGATTTTCTCCATTTTCTGGGGAGGAAAGTTTGCAAAGTTCAGCTGAGATTGACTTCTGCTGTGCCCTGCAGGCTTCTGCTCCAGAGAAGCAGCCAAGTCTGGAATCTTTGCTAGAGGAGAGAGAAGTAATTTTATACAAAAATAAGAAGACATACAGCTCTAAGAGAAACTGCTTATTATAAAATCTTACAAATTAACTTCTTCTTTTGATGGATCTTGATACTTGTCCCATGAGCTCTTGATTTTAGGCAAGAAAGAAGAAACATTATTCAACATTTTTCACTAATTATCAGTTAATAGCCAGTAAGAATCAGCAAAAAGTAGTGCTTTCCTTTCACTTAATTATGTTTCTCTTCATTCATCACATTCACAGGCCCTTTATTCAAGTTTTTATAACACTAGGCTAAATAAGCCAGACTAAGTAACAGTTATTGAAGTAGAATGAAGTCTTGGATCAGACAGAACAAAATTGTTTTCATCACCTCGAAAAACATTTTTGCAAAAGATCATACCAAGATGGACAACAAAACCTCAGAAAGTTTTGGAAAGAGGAAAGAAGCCTGCTGTGAGTTGGTGGAGTTTGGAGCATCCCAGGGAGCGCTTTGCTAGACTGCAATCATCATCAGCACGCTTCCCTTTGATCTGCCTGGAGATGTGGCAGGGTGTTTAAAGCTGGAAACAGCACTTCTCTAATGTTCCCTAACCTCAAAAACAGGATGCCAAACATAAGGTTTTTTTCCTCCTTTTTTCTCCCTCCAGCACATTCCTGCCAGAACAGACTATTCAATTGTGCGCTGTGCGTCACGACCCTCTCTGCCGAAGGAGTGCGGGGAACGAGAGGGTTTTTGTTGCTGCAGGGAATTTTTTACTGGCTTTTTTTTTTTTCCTCTGTGTGTGAGAGACATAAAATGCTCTGGAAATGTACAGATTCTTCCTGCCAAGAATGGTTGTTTTCACAGCTCCCCTCTTGCCAATTTCAAACTGATTAAGAAATAATAAAATATATTAAAAAAAAAAAGTTTTCACATATATATCCTAAACTCCCTGGCTGACAGATATTGTTGAGCAATTGAGTCTGTAAAAGTGCCAAAATAACCCAGAAGAATCGAAGAATCAAATATTAATACTGATGGTAACGTGAAAAAAGTGAGTTTTCAGTGACAAGAACAAATTCAAGGATAAAGTGCTGTTAACCAATTACCTTAATTAAGCTGGAACTATGACTTTCTAATATTTTTAAGGATCTTAGCTTCTCAGCCTTTGGCTTTAATTTTTTCCCCCAAAATATCTTTCATGCAAAATAATTAATTAATCTCCGAATGCGAATGTTACTCATTTTGAACTCATGAAATATTTAGAGAGGATTCCAGCAAAATGTTCTCTCCCAACTTGGACTTGACTTATTCTAATTAACAAGTTGGTTTTGGGTATTAACAGACCTTTATGGGCTCTGATAGAAATATAGGTGATCACAGCAAAAATAAAGGCTAAATGTTCTGTGGAACATGCACAAAAGGGAGAAAAGCTGTTCAGGAGTCAGGGAACTGTTGAAAAACAAAGGGAAACGTGTAACTCACTTTTCTGGCACCTTCTTCCAGCATAGCCCTCGGCACAGGAGCAGACATTGGTCCGGACACAGTGACCACCATTCTTACAGGGGGGAATGCAAAGAGCTGGGGAGAGGAGAGGAAATGTTCTGTGCACCAAACTCACACAGGGATCAGCGTTGCCAAAGCACAGGCTCCTTCCTTAGGTGCCTCTGTTGGCAGAGCAGCCCACAGAGGTCTTTTTTTGGAAGGTGTCTCCCCAAAGAGTGATTTGGGCTCTTGCCTGGGTGGAGACCCTGATTCTGTGTTGTTTGTGGAAAAAATGTGGGACATGACTCCTGGCACCTGAGGGTCTCCTAGATAGTTGCAGTTAAGTGGTCAGAATATTCCCAGTGGGGTCAGATTTTTAGGTCTCTGTCAAAGGGCTTCCTCAAGGACTTCTCCCCATGGAATACAGATCAGTGTTGGACTTTGCTAACTTGGCCTTGCTGCTGTTCCTTCTCCATTTCTCTAAGAAGCAGAAGGAAGGGCTTTGCATCCATCCATTATATCGTCCCAGCAATTTCAGATCCCATGAATGTGCATGCTTATTTCCAATCCAGTGTATAAACCAGAATACTTGAGAGCAAAATTTTCAAATCACCTAAATATTGAAAATCACTTTCTGTGTTCAAGAGCAAGATCATCAAGTTACAGTCTAGCATTTTCACTCTCTCCTTCACATCTAACATCATTAAAAAAAAAAAGTTTTCGCCAAGCTCCATTTGCAAATAGATTTTTCTGTGTGAATCATTCACTTGCAAAAATACACATCAGGACCACATTCGTCTAGGAATGTGGGAAACAAAAGAGAGTAAGAGCAAAGAACTTTTAATATTGAAGTAGTTTTGGGTGTATTTATATTCCCAGATTCAGGAGGAGTTACTAGATCCATATTGAAAAAAGAAGTGAGTGGTGTTAGCACAGGCATGTTCCAGCTACTTGGGCCCTAAGTTCTCTTTCTTGTATGAGATACTGGGTCATTCAGGGATTCATTAATTTGTCTTCTGCAGCACAGTGTGAGTGAGAAGCCAGGATACTGTTAGCCTCAGTTTAGAGCTAGGACAGGAATTCAAAATCAGCTGCTGCTCAAGCAGGACAATACTGGATCAGATTTTTAAGCAAGGATCTGATGAGCTCCTACAGAAGTCTCCCATCCACGACACTTTAGGATGGCCAGGTAGGTGACATGGTGAGCCCCATTTGAAGGTAAAATATCACCAGGCTCTGAAACCAGTATAGTACACACCACAGGGTACCAAAATGAACAAAATACTGCCATGCTTTATCAATTTATTGAATAGTTGCTAATTAGTGATATCACTGACTCAAGTAGTTTTAGAACAATTATTTAGTTATCAATAATGGCATTACCAATAAGTTTTTCCTTCTTCCCAATCCATCAGGAACAATAAAAAGTGGATTTATGACAATGACAACAAAGGAGCACACATAGTTATGACAAGGAGAGTCTCTGGATATATTTCATGTGGGGGTAGGTAATGTTAGAGGTGATATTTATATTTTGAGCCTGGGCCCTTTATCAAGATTATAAATAGAACTTTCTTACCTCTCTGGCACTGTGGCCCATAGAAACCAGAAGGACACGAGCACGTGTTTGGCCGTACACAGACTCCTCCATTCAGGCACACAGGATTGCACACAGCTGGATGGGAATAGAAGATAACTTCATGGATCTCTGATAATGTTGAACTTTTCAGAGTAGGCACTCTTTTACTGCTGCACATGTCATTAGAATTAATATTTCTAGTAATACTGTGAAAAGTTTAATGCAGCCCTTGCAGATCACTTGTGCTGCAGCACTTATTCATGTTCGACACAGTGGAAGCATTTCACTTGTTTTAGCATAGCTTGGGAGATGAAATAGACTATAATTTAATGTAGTAATTTAATTTATTTCGGATGTATTCTTTTGATTCGCACAGTTCATTTATTTCCATTCCAGTATTCGCACCAAGCACGATCCCAAGGTAGTAAATGCAGTCAAATAAAATACACCCTGGATAACCTGGAGATGAGATATTAATTGTTTGCTGCTTTGTCCGCATTCAGCAGAGCATTGTGGCATTTCCATGGACTTGAATAGGTGTGCACCAAAAAACCTGTTTGTTCTGCCTCATTTAAATGCCAGTTCCCACAACACATTGGCTCATTCATCACCAACAAAGCCACTGGCTGAGCTCCCTTTGCCTCTTTATGTATCTGTTATTACTCTGGATGATACAACAGGCATTAGGAATTAAAAGCTGTCTTGCATATTTCTATGTGGCAAGTACCAGACTGTTAAAAACAAAACTATTAGAATTTCAAATTGATTTAGATGGGAAGCCAGTGTGTGAAGAATAAGGAATCTGATAAAGTTTTCATTGTAAAGCAGAGTGGCACTTTAAACCAGCCTTTTTCCTCTGTTCCCTTTGTCTTTCAGTATCTTAGGATAGCCCATTAAAGAAAATAAATGCATTTAAGCTTAAATAAATGAAGGGCCACTAAAATGTTTCAGATGAACTGAAAAGAAATAAAATGTCAATTTGGAACAAGAAAAAGAAAGTGAAATTGTAGTCTAGATGAGAGGTTTTCCTGACTAAGGAGCAGTTACTTATGAAGTCAAAATGGATTTAATTCATTGCTCAAGGGGAATTTGGTTTAGTCATGTCGTTGTCCTGGCTAGTTCCTAGAAGTCCATAATCTTGTCAGTCTGTCAGTATTTATATTTCCAGTGGTAAAGTAATATTTTTTTTTTCATATTTATACCTGTATTCTTCCTGACATTCCTATCATAACATAATATCATAACACTTGTGGTGGGAAACCCCAGAAATGCCCACAAAATATTCTGTGCAGTGCACTCAAAACTGTGCCAGAGAGGTGAATCTGGCAGCCTTTCACCAAAGCTGTCAGCAGACAAAAAAATCCTGCTGCTGTTATTCTGGTCTGGAAGTTACTGATGCTTGTTGTCTGTCCTTCTCTTGGAATGATTTTGTTTAAAGCCACCCCAAAATAAAATTGCAGAACTCCTTGAGAAGAAAAAGCAGATCTAGTGACAACCTGAATAGCAGTGACGATCCCAGTCATTTCCTGTGGATCATAGCTGGGCTAATTTATGTTTCCTCAGTAGATATGTCATTTTAACACTTACAGGAAGAGCAATCTCCAGGAGATGGAGGTTAAAATGACATTTCTCACCTTCCAGGAAAGGTAATGTAGGCTGAAGGTGTCTCAGTCATTTAATATTCACCGTGGCAGAGGCAGACTGCCTCTGGAGCCTTCAGGTCTGGCACTGATTCAGGTAGTTCTCATATTTTAATATTTCACTATTTTACAAGCCTTGTCCCAGGTGAGTGCTGTAGTTTCTGTGCCTTTGGAGAAAATACCCACCCCAGTTTTTTAGGAATTGATGCTGAGAGGGGGGTCTGAGCTGTGTCTGTTTAAAACTTTGAGCCTTGGCTAGAAAGAAGTACCCAGTTCCAGTCCACACCTTGTCATTTTGTACTGATGGGTGGAGGTGGCTTTTTCCTGAGCTCCCCCACTCCTGTGGATGCTTTCTGTGGGTGCTCTGCAAGGGAGGGATGCAGGCAGGAGGAGCAGTGTGAATTCTGGCAGCATGATAAGAACTAGCTCCAGAATCACACAAACTTAAAAAGCTGCAAAAGAATCTTGTTTGTAGATTCCCTCTATAAAACTCTGAGATTTAGGTAAAAATCTAAACTTATGAACAGCTACATAAACATCTAAATTTATGAACAGTTACTCAGGACTTTCTGAGGTTTTGCCGTGTACTTGGTGTCCTCTTCTTAATTAATTCTTTCTTAGTCTCCTCTTAGGTTTTAGTTCTTTAAGCAGCAATTCCCAGTCTGAGCACTGAGCTGGGGGGGAACCTGAGGGATTTTGGGCACTTTTGGGCACAGGATCAGGCACTGCCAAGCACTCACCTGTCTCACAAGAGGGGCTGCTCCACCCGTGCCTGCACTGGCACTCATCTGGTGACACACACACCCCCCCGTTGTGACAGTGCCTGCTGCACACCACTGCAAAACACACAAAAAATCAAAATTGCTCATCACTAACCCCACTGCAGATCCTAAAGTTGTCCTATTACAGCCAATAACCGACAGCATTAGTCCAGGAGATAAACTGAGGGTGGAAACCAGCCCTTTCCTTGATTTGCTCTCTCTATTAGAAGCCATACACATAAAATTCTCTGCTTTTAAAGTATTCTGGCTATTGAGTTTCGTAGGTAAAATTATATTCCTCTCAAGGGCTACCTGATATTTAAATAAGCAGCGAGGTCTGTAATTATGGAAGTACATGTGTTTTGCTGATATAGGAGGATTTGAAGGCTGATTTTTAGATATTTTCTGTATTGAACCTCTTTTTAAAGTCTTATTGCAGAGTAGCATTACTCCTAATAGGTATGGCTGGTTTTCTGTGTTCTCAAAATTAGCATTACTGCGTTCACTCACAATCTTAAATTTCATAAATATTACTATAGTTAACATGCACTTTTTTTTCATTCTTTTTTTTTGTTTGTTTTTCCAGAAGCAATTTTACGTAGAAAATGTTGATTTAGATGTGCATATTTTTACATAATACAACAATGCTGCTGGTAAATATATGCTCTGTAGCTACTGTATTACTTGAATCCTTTGTATTCAATTATTATTTTAAGGGGAAATATAGGGGGAATAAAAGGAGAAAAGGCTTTTTTGTGTTTTGTTTTTTTTTTTTTTTTTTTCCCTCTTGGAATTTTCTGGTAATTGAAACGTGCTGAAGAAAGCCTGAGTGAGTTCATACATACTTGTTTCACACCGAGGCCCTACAAATCCATAAGCACAAGAGCAGGTGTTGTGAGGCAGGCACGTTCCTCCATGCTCACACGGGGGCTCACACTGCGCTGCAAGAGTGAAACAGGAATAAAAAAATACAGTTCAAACACGACATTCTCTGTGGTTGTGAGCACAGCACAGGTTACTTCTTTCCCCATCCCATTTTATTAATCCAGTGAGTAATTTGGCTGAGGGAAACACTGCAGGATAGCAGTAGCTATCCCATTAGCAACCCAGCACTAATGAGCAGCTGTGTGAAGTCTGCAAGGGAATGGTTTTAACATAATCATATTTAACTTCTGAGCAGGCACATTTTAAAGCACATGTTTTGAAGGCTAGTGATGGATGAAGTACAAATGCAGTTACAACTCAAGACCTTGCCCATCCCTCTCTACAAATTTGCCTTGTGGATGGTCAGGAAGCCTTAACAGGTGTCAGAACTTGCAATAAGGCAGAGATTAAGTGCTTCTTATAGAAAAGAGTTGTGTGTGGACTTGTCAGCAAAATGGCAAACATTTAAGCAAAAAAAGTTAATATTTAATGAGTAGCATGAGCTCTGCAGACAAAGCAGCAAATTACATAAAGAATTCTTGACTTATTGCAGTATGCAATTTAATTCTGCGGGAGGAAGAGGATAAGTGTAGAAAGGACTGCAGCTCCTGAAAGAGCCTATTTGCTGAAGGCATGCTTGTTTTTCAAATGTTGATAATTTTGAATCTAAAAACATTATTGTATAGGGAGCCTGGAAACTTTGGACCCTTAAATCTAAGATCTAAGGCAGGTACCTGAGAATTCTTTTGGTAATTGCTTATGACAAACTCAAAAGAGGAGGAGGAAGATCACTGAAGGGACAGGATGATCACTGAAGGGAAAAATCATCACAGAAAGGATGGGATGACACTCAAAGGAGAAACTCTGTGGTGGGAGCAGAGCAAGAAATGTGTTCCAGAGGCATCTCCTGCTACTGGAAAAAGAATGGTGCCTCCCATAGCAGAATGAAAAATATCTTCCCTTGTGTGTGGGAAGTGAATACAGTGAAAAATGTTGTACTTTGGCTCACTTCACTGGCAGAGTTTTGTCTTTTATGAAAGATATGAGGCTAAGCAAGGTTATTCCAAGGAAAAAGCAAAATGAAGCTAACGAGACCTGAAACAAAGCATCTTTCATTTTAAGTATTGTTACGAAGGAAGAAAACCTTAATGCACCACATTTTGTTCTTAAAGCTGGAAAATGGGCTATGGAAATGGAAAGCTAAATGAAGGACTAATTCTTGGGGAGTCCCATAATTTAAATGCAGTTATTGTGTTGAAGACCTCGTTGCCTCTTGTGATTGTCACCAGGCCATGGAATATGAACTTTGCCATCCAAAAAAAATAATAAATGCCCTCACACATTTTATAATTGTATTAAAAAAGACAAACTCCAAGGAGGTGATAAGTGCTATTAAATAAACCACTTTGACACAAATAGCATTGAGAAATATATTTAGTATTTAATGATGACATTTTCAATGCTTCATTATATAACTTTAGGATTTGACCTTCCTGAAAATAGAAAACTTACAAGGTGTATTTTAGATTCATACTGTATATGCTGAGAATGTCATTAAGCTAAATTTAATTTTGATTGGATAAGGTTGAGCATTTGCAAATCAATGTGTGCTTAGATGAAATTCCAAATATATATCTGTGGGGAAAAAAAAAAAAGAAGAGATAAACCCAATTCATCTTTGTCTGGACAATTAAATAGTAAATAGATTTAGATAAGGTATTAGGAAGAAATTATTAGCTGTGAAGATTATGGGGCATGGGTACAGGTTGCCCAGAGAAGTTGTGGCTGCTCCATCCTTGGAAATGTCCAAAGACATGTTGGATGGGGCTTGGAGCAACCTGGAATTGTGATTTCTTTGCCCCTGTTTGTAAGGGGAGTACAAAACCTGGAGGAAAATGTACCACTCTTTTTAAAGTCCATGAAATGTGATTGCCTTTCCTGCAGGATGATGGTTGCATAAAGCCTCCAGGTGCCTAAGTGCTGTGCCAAGCACGGTGACATTCAGGCGTATTTCGCTTTATTTCAGTGTGGTTCGTGTAGCACTTAAAGCAAGTGTGTCCATGTGAATGGAACACTTTCCATCTGGCCTTTGCACATTCTGAGATGCATCTGAACTGTCAGAAAAGAACATGGTATTTTGGATATTAAAACATTTAGCTCTTACGGTGACATTTAATAGTAAAATGTTTTAAACATTCTATTACTGGTGAATAGCAAAAGATAAAAATTGAACACTGGCTCCTCTGTGAGAGTAAGAGTAATATTCACTTAAAAAACATTTCCCACTGTAATAGAAATATACTGCTTATGTCAAATTATTTTCCCAAACTTCTATCTTTCATCTTCTGAAATGAATACTTTTTTCCAAGAGCATTTGCTAAATTTTAGAAAGGTATTGCGGTGTTTTTATATTAAGTGGTTTTGGATAAAATAAAGTGATTTGGGAAAAATAACAGCAAAGAGGAAAACATTGCTGCAAATGGTCAATCTTGCTGTCAAGTGTATGTATGTTTATGTTTACAATTTAAAATCTGGAGGTGAAAATGGAGAAGTGCATTATTATTTCCTTTGAAAAGGCTTTTTGGGAAATATCCCCAAACTTCTATTTTCCATTAAAATGAGATCGTACAGTTTTTATAAGTTTCTCTGCAATAACTTCAGGGGCACTCAGGAATACCAGATGCTCTGTTGTTTCCCTTATTTTCCGTAGCCTAATCAGCAAATATCTTCCAGGACAGAGTTATTGCTTGGCATCCCCACAGTGAGTAACTCCCTGTGCCATCCCCACGTGAGGCTCTGGTCTGTGCAAATAAAGCCAGACTTGGAGCTGTGAGAGAATTGCCTGCTTAGAATTTTGCACCAAAGTCAGATCAGGACAGACTTCACTGAAGGGAGCATAGTCCACCTTGTTTCATTCTACATTATTCATTTCCTTTCAAAGATACATTAACCTAACTTCCTAAATGTGCAGATGAAGTTTTAATGCTTTCAGCACAAGGGTGAAGTGGAAAAAGGGAAAGTTCCTCAGTTGTTGTTTTTTCTTTTGGAAAGCTGTGCATTGAAGTGTTTCTTTTGCATGTAAGATACACAGATAAATGAAATGAAGCATAGGATTAAACCATGTGTTACTGCAATTAAATTAACTTATTGCACATTTAAATAGTCCAGCAGTCTGGGAGCCCTGTTGTGAGAGAAATGTCCATCATAGCAACTGGAATATTAACAAGAGAAACTTGACTGAATAAACTGGGAATACAAATGCAGGCACCAGCTCTGGCTAGGTTGTACCAATGCATTTTCCTTTGTGAAATGTCAGCTGAGTAGTCATCTGCAGCCAAAAAAACCCAAATAAAGTGGTAGGAATTGTTAAGAAAGGAGCAGACTTCCTTATGGCCTGTATCCATGGTGAGCTCCATCTTAAATACCATGGGCAGGTCTGAGCCCTCAGCTCAGAAAAGCTACAGTAGAAGTGGAAAAGATGCAGAAAAAGATGCAGGGATAAATAAACAAAGTTATAGAAGAGCTTTTGTGCAAAGAACAAGTGAATAATGAGGTCCTTCAGAAAAATATGACTTTAGGATAGAAAACTGTGAAATCAGACGTGACCTGGAAAGAGTGAACAGGATCAAGTTCCAAGGCATCACCTTGGTGTTTTGGAGCACGTGACCATAATTTCTGAGAAGCTGTTCCAGACAGTATCCCTCTACCTTTCCCACATATTGCCAGACAAATGCAGTTGGCAGCTATTGGAGATAGGGAAAGGAATTTTGGTTTGATATGGTAGATCTTTTTGGGTGCAAAATGTAAAAAAAAAAAAACTTGAGCCATCAAATTTTTTGCTCATTTCATGCAGCTGTACATGCTGAAGTCACAATACTTTCCCAACTACTCCACCTCTTCTGGTATTTTGAAATTTTTTGGTTTGAAAAGTGGTTTTGTAATGTCAAGGCAATGCTGTGTTCTTAACTCTTGAGCAGAAAACATCACTCCCACTGTTCTAGACTTCCCATTGTTCCAGACATCTCCTTCTCTTTGAAAATACTGTACAAAGCCAATTAAATATTCCAGATTTTTACTCAGTTCACCTTCTTAAGAATATTTTTCTAAAATATTATAACTTTATCTTTGACAGGAGTGCTGAGAGTCTTTTATGACAGCTGAAATACCAGAAGGATACCACTCCTTAACTGTCAACCTAATCCAAAATGTTTTTAATGTATTCTATTAAATGGAGGCTGACTTTTTAATAGTGCAGTTTTAGTGACCAGAAACTCCCTATCAAAGGAGGTTGGAGCCTGGGAAACAACAACAACAACAACAACAAAAAGGATGATGAGAAATTTGGTTTAAATCCTTATGGTCCATCAGTTTTCAGGTCTAGGCCTCTCAGAAAGAAGCCCAACAATGATACCCAAAGCAGAATTTTTCATTCAGTTCAATTCTGTTATCAAATGGGAAGGCAATGTTCCACCTTAGGGCACCCTAAGAAGCTCCAGGAGTACAAGAGCTGCTCTCAGGCAGTGCCATGTGCACAGACCCTGGGGAACGAGCTGAGCCCAGGGAAAGGACAGCACTTTTCCCTTTTCCTTGTCCAGTAGATGCAACAGCTTTGCAAGTTGCACTCAACCTGTGCACCTTGGTAGAGTGGGAACAGAGGCAGGATGACAAGGAACTGCTCTAGGGTGACTACCAAGACTAACAAATATTTCAGAGTGATAGCTCCAAGTGTTACAAATCACTGCAGCACATGTGCCACTTGTCACACATCAGACAAAATGTCAGAAAGGCTGATATCGGATATCAATCCTGTTTGGGCTCGTTCTGCATTATTACAGTGCCAGGTTTTTGTTCAACTGGCACGTGGAGCTGAAATGTGTAAAGCCCTGTTTGTGCTCTGATGCTCCTGCAGTGCTCTTTGGCAGGTGATTCGTGCTGTCCCAAAAACTGCTAGAAGGAGACTGTACCAATGCATTGGTTTTTACTGCAGATATCCTTGGAAGCAGCACTCAGAGTGAAA